TTTTTTTAAAGATGATGTTGGGGGTAGGAGTTAATTAATTAATTAATTAATTGTTGCTGTGTTGGGTCTTCGTTTCTGTGCGAGGTCTTTCTCTAGTTGCAGCGAGTGGGGGCCACTCTTCATCGCGGTGCGCGGGCCTCTCTTGTTGCGGAGCACAGGCTCCAGACGTGCAGGCTCAGTAGCTGTGGCTCACGGGCCTAGCTGCTCCGCAGCATGTGGGATCCTCTCAGACCAGGGCTCGAACCCGTGTCCCTTGCATTGGCGGGCAGACTCTCAACCACTGTGCCACCAGGGAAGCCCTGTCCTTCTCTTGACAATAAAAGCTATTCTAATGGTCTAGAGAATTTCTCTATTGTCCCAGCTGGTCTCCAGCAGTCAATCAAACAGGAAGCATCCTTCCTCCAACTTCTAACTAAATGAGAAGAACACCTGAGGAAATAAGAAAGCATGAAAACATAATGGCAAAAAAAAAAACAAATAAAAGGATTTTGGATAACTATTCAGACTCTGTGCCACTAAGGGATAAAGCCTATTCACAGGTCGAAAGGGAAAATAGTTGTGTGAAATAGTGCCATAATGAAGAATTTCAGTTCTTCTGTGTTCTTGCCACTGTATCACATGGTTTGGACTCTAAGCTCATCCTCAAATCATTCATTTACCTTTGTTATTTTTATTAATGTTTTTGGATTTTCAATCTAGCTCATTGCCATATAATGCTAGGAAACCGATTATTAAAATAATCAAAACCCTTAAGGTCCACACAAAAACCTGAACACACATGTTTATAGCAGCTTTATTTAGGATGGCCAAAACTTGGAAGCAACCAAGATGTCCTTCAGTAGGTGAATGGATAAACAAACTGTGGTACATCTAGACAGTGAAATATTATTCAGCCTTAAAGGGAAATGAGCTATCAAGCCATGAAAAGACATGGAGGAACCTTAAATGTGTATTACTGAGTGAAAGAAGGCAGTCTGAAAAGGCTACAGACTATGATTCCAACTATATGACTTTATGGAAAAGGCAAAACTATGGAGCCAGGAAATAGATTAGAAGTTGCCAGCTGTTGAGGATAGAAACGAATAGACAGAGGATTTTAAGGGTAGTGAAAATACACTCTATGATACCATAATAATGGATACATCATTATACATTTTTTCCAAACCTATAGAATGTACACGGCCAAGAGTGAAACCTAATAATGTAGGTTCATCAGTTGTAACGAATGTACCACTCTGGTGGGAGATGATGATAATGGCGGAAGCTATGCATGTGGGGGGGGGGCAGGCAATATACAGGAAATCTCTGTACTTCCCTCTCAATTTTGCTGTGAACCTAAAACTGCTCTAAAAAGATGTTTTTTTAAAAAAAATCATATGGATCAGTCGTTGAACTTGTAGCACAACCCATGTTCACAGGTCTCACACATTTCAAATGAAAACAAAGTAGTCTAACAATAGGATATATAAAATAATCTCATGTATATTCGTATTTTAAATGCCCACATGAATAGACTCAGCCTGATATCAATGAAATATCTACTTGTACTTTTAACAGTAAGAAGAGGCACAAAACCTGGTTTTTCTTTCATATAAAGCACTTTTTTTTTTTAAATCTCTGCCTCATACATTACTACAGCTAAGAGGAAACATTAGCACAACCCTTTACTTCAAAGACCAGAGGTTTAAACATTTGACATTAAGCAACTCTTTCCACCATGCCCCGCTATCCCTGACCCTTAGAAAAAGTTCCAGATTTAGCGTTGGTTTCATGGCAGAGATACCACCATTTACCCACCTGATAGTCCTCCCCAGAAGGTCAAATTCCACCAGAGGCTGGTCAGCTTTCAACTTTCCATGGGTTATGTCACTCAAAGGCTTTCTTGACCTCAAGCGAAGTTAAGATGGTGTTACTAGGGCAATACTACAGATTCCCACTCCCCAATTTATAATATTAAATATCTATTTCTCTACCTACAGTAATTATTGGGGCACAGTAGGAATAGGCACATGTAGGCACAATAAGAAAAGAGAAATATAATAATGCATAGTTTTTATTACATTCATGTAAAAGAGGGGCATGGGGGAAACTGGGTGGGGGGCACATGGGAATTCTTTGTGCTACCTTTTCAATTTTTTGTAAATCTATAATTTAAAAAATAAAGTATATTTTGTAAACAAATTATATATATATATATGTATATATATATATATATATATATATAAAATCCAATGTGTTCGAATATACAACTCTGGTATGAGTATGTGCATCTGAAAAATTCATGGTAATGAAAGGTATCTATAGTGACAGAAATGAATCTCTTACACCTCAGACTAAGTTACAAAGACAAATAATCTGAAGGCAGTAAATATAAAAGACAATAAAATGCTGAAAAAATGTTTACAAAGCACCTACTACATAGAAAAGACTGTGTTAGATGCTGGGTAGTGACACTCCATCCCATGAAGGGGCAAATAAAGGGATGAGGCACAAAATCAACACTTGAAAAGTAAATTTAGGGCTTCCCTGGTGATGCAGTGGTTAAGAATCCACCTGCCAATGCAGGGGACATGGGTTTGAGCCCTGGTCCAGGAAGATCCCACATGCCGCGGAGCAACTAAGCCCATGCGCCACAACTACTGAGCCTGTGCTCTAGAGCCCGTGAGCCACAACTACTGAGCCCGCGTGCCACAACTACTGAAGCCCAAAAGCCATAACTACTGAAGCCCACGTGCCTAGAGCCCGTGCTCCACAATAAGAAAAGCCACCGCAATGAGAAGCCCTCGCACTGCAACGAAGAGTAGCACCCGCTCACAGCAACTATAGAAAGCCCGTGCACAGCAACAAAGACCCAACTCAGCCAAAAATAAATAAATAAATTTATTAAAAAAGAAAGAGAAATTTATTTAAAGAGGTCTCTTTATTATGGGGGGAGTGAGAGGTGGAGACATGTATCTTCTGACCTGAGTGCTATAAAAATCCTGTTTCACATAAAACTAGTGCTGTACAAAATTTAATTTTTAATACTCGTTTTCCACCAGCCACTTACAATCAAGCAAGAGCCAGTTCAAAAATGACAAGAATATCAGAGAAGATATAAAACATTTATCCTAATGACCTATTCTCCAATCTTGGTTTGAATATGAGAACCTTAGTAGATAGTGAAGATAGACCATAAGTAAATCAGCACTAGGGGGAAGTTAAGAATGAGGACAGAGTTAACATATCAAAAACTTTCTAACCCAAGGACTATTTCTCCCCAGTCTTGCTCAGTCTTGAGCGGATTGCCTTATTCAATAGGAGCCACAGAATGATTATTTTGAGGAGCAACCAAAATTGTGGGCCCCAGTTTTCTCCTTGAGGTTGACATCTAGCTTAAGAGAATTATAACATAGCTTTATATTACACATCCATCAAGGTCTACAGCTTGAACAGAAATGCTTATTTTCATATAAGAGACCTCAAGGGGGTGACAGCAGTCTTGCACAGTGGCAATCTGGAGATCAGGTGACTTTCCATGGCAAACCCGAAGAGGATGGCCACGCATTTTAATGCAATGCAAAGGACCAGAAGCATTCCAAGGTAAACAAGCTACCAAGCCATGCTCTAGAGCTACACTGTCCAAAGGGTAGCCACAAACCCCATATGGCTATCTAAATTTAATAAAAATTAAATAGCACTTTAAAAAATAGTCTATTGGGGACTTCCCTAGTGGTGCGGTGGTTAAGAATCCGCCTGCCAGTGCAGCGGACACAGGTTCGAGCCCTGGTCCAGGAAGATCTCACGTGCCATGAAGCAACTAAGCCCGTGCGCCACAACTCCTGAGCCTGCGCTCCAGAGCTCGCGAGCCACAACAAAGAGTAGCCCCCGCTCACCGCAACTAGAGAAAGCTCGCATGTAGCAAAGACCCAAGGCAGCCAAAAATAATAAATAAATAAATAAATTTATAAAAAAAAAAATAAGTCTATTGATACCAATTATACCAGTTATTCCACCCATAAGTGAGAAAAAACGATATGACTTATAATAGACTTAATACAGTAAATGAAAAATGTTAATTATAGAATCTAGATTGGCATATGGGTGTTCATTTTACAATTCTTTCAAGTTTTCTACATTTGAAATTTTTCATAATAAAATGGTGGAAAATATTATTTTTAATTAAATAGGACTATAAATTCAGTTATATTAGCCACATCTCAAGTACTCAGTAGCCACACGTAGTATCCAGTGGCTACCCTATTGGACTGCTCAGATACAGAACATCTCTATTATCGCACAGTTTACTGGCCATAGCTGCTCAGGAGCCCCGGTGAGCCTTCAGACACCAATTCCTCCACCCTAAGGTCCTGGGCAAAGCGGATGATGACTAACAGGCCTGCACACTTTTAGAGTGAAGGTTCAGATGGAAAAGTAACAGAATATCAGGGCATTAGCTACTAACAGGAGAAGTAATCAGGTCTATCAGAAAGAGGTTGAAGGGAACTGAGAAATATGACTGGGATGTGTTCATTAGGAGTTAGGATATAAATACACACACACACACATATATACATAAGTCTAAATTTTAAATAATTTTTAGAGCTGAGAACTCATTTACTTCCCACAGATATACAAAATATATACATTGTGAAATAATGGAAACAGGGGCATAATAAAAGATGTGCCTAATTTGGGGTACTGACTTTACCTTCGTAACCTTGAGGAAATCACAGCTTATACAAAAACATTTAAATGTGAATGACCCCTGAGGGGTTTGTGACAAATGTAAAAAATCCAAAACCTTCTACAAACAACTTCTATAAGCACCAAAAAATTAAATCCCATCAGGTATGGTAGAAACAAGGGAAGATCTACAATTGCCTTTAAATGGATGGGAATCTGGCTACATGTTTCTACGTGAAAGACCTTCTGCCATAGAATGCACCTACTAGAACAATTTTTATCTTTAAAATGAATCAGAGATACAGCCTCCTGAAGGAAAAAATGCACTCTCCATCCAGGCTTTGATATGTTTTATTGGAGCAAAATTTCAATAAACGTGGCTTTTATTTACAGAATTTAATGTGTGTGGGGACTGTCCAGTCCACTTGGACCCAAGTGAAGATAATCATTAAGCCTGTTTATGTATTCTCTTATTTTCAGTTTGCATACAAAAAGGGCTTGCTTCACATTCATAAAAACCCCAATATCATAAATGGCAAACCCTCCCTCACCCATCCCTTAATTAAATATAAACACAGTTTCAAAAAACAATTTAGATTGGTTTAATCTTGAAATGTAATCCAATAAGACTAAAAACTAAACATTTCAGGTCCTGTACCAAATAGTAAAATACTCGAAGGCCTTCAGGATCCCTAAAATTTAAAAAGATAAAAGTTACTTTTTTCTTCCTAAAATGAAACAACATAATAGTACAAATTAATTCCTAAAACAAAACAAAGACCAAAAACCAAAAACAATTACATTAAAGGAATTTTGAGGAGAAAGAAAGCATTTTCTGATAACTAAAATGGATAACCTGAACAATTCCCATCTCTACCTTTTCTGTAAGAAAAAAATACATAAATTTCTTCATCAGTATTCATTTCATATTTAAAGTGTTTATTTCCTTATAAAAAATAACATTTATACATCACAAAAATGTTTAAGGCAAAGAAAATTATAAAGATAGAAAAAAGAAACTCAATACTACATAATGTCATTCCTCATGGAATAATTGTAAATATTTTGGTATTTCTCTAATATTTTTCATAATTAAAATCATTTACTGTGGCCTTTTAAACATTACTTTTTCCATTACATTAAAAAAATTCACAAATAATTTTTAATTAATTTAGCAATTCTCTCCTTGTTACCATTTGGATTTTTTTCCAATTATCACTAAGGTTTTAATGAACATCTTTATGAATAATAAAGTTTTTTCATTATTTCAGAGTATTTCCCAGGATAGATGGATGCTCAGAAATGAAATCAGTTGGACAAAGATAAATGAAAAATATTAACAGCTTTTGATGCATATTATCAAATTGCTTTCCAAAAAACACTGTAACAATTTACAAACCCAGTAGGATACAAATGCCACATCTTCACCAACTATGGGAAAATAGATGGGATAGTTTAAAAGTATCTCGACAGTCTTCATATTGGAACATAGCCTTTTGTATCCAGTAGTTATGCATTAATTCCTTTCTCCTTTCCTCCATAGATTATAAAGCACCTATTGTGTGCCAGGCATTGCACTAACTTTGAGATATGGCAAGGTTCTCAGGGAGCTTACACTGAAACCAGTTAGGCAAACAAATAAGTTGTTACAATTTAGGGGAATAGGAAAAAGACACTATAAGAACATTTTGAGGGGAAAGAG